GGTTGAACACAGCACTAAGTAGCTCCCTCCGCCATGACCCCCGGACACGTCTGGCACCCCCAGGGCTGAGGTCTCCATCCCAGGCCTGTCAAGACTTCTCTGGGGGGCACTGCGGTGGAAATTGTCTCTTCTGCCTTCAGTATCTTCCCTTTTCTATCTGTACTCTGTTTCCCTTCAACACTGACATGAATTTCAGCAATTTTGCAGCCTTCCTCTTGTATTTTCCTTATTCCAGAGTGTCAAAAGCTTACAGAACTCTACATAACAGGCAATAAAGAGGCAGAAACACAATGCATGGTGATCAAATCCTATTAAATCCTAGGTACTGGGGACGGTCAGAGCAATAATCAGTTGTGGTCCCTCCCTTCGCAGAATTTAGAGTATGAAGACAGTCCTCATCTTCTGAATAGGCCGGACCAACCTCAGATTATGCCTGCCCAGCAGGTGAAGACCGGTGGAACCAACAGAGCCCAACAGAGTGACCTGCACATCACATGAATGTTTGTTGAACTAAATTAAATTTGAATTGCATTCAATGGAACCACACTTCTCTCCTGGAAGGTGACACGCCCTAGCTGAGGAGAAGACATACATAATCTACCATGAGCCTGAATACCCTTAGTAACAGATGCAGGGGTGGGATCCCAGGAAACCTAACAGTGACAGGAAATTTAGTCCTCTTTCCTGGAAACTTCCTGTCTGCAATCACAGGCCAAGCAGGCATGTTTGGAAAGTGGCAAATAGCAATGACATAATTCACACTTCTTCTCTGTCAAGTACAGAGCAGTCATGGCGCTCTGGCCCTTGCTTACCTTGTTCCCCTACCCCACTTCATCTGTCAAAGCCCTGCATATACATGGATGAAACAATATGACATCTGGGATTTGGCGGGACCCAGCAGTTTTGGGGGGTGTCTTAGTTATTTAGTGCTGCTATAACAGAAATACCACAAGTGAGTGACTTTAACAAAGAGAAATTTATTTTCTCACAGTTTAGGAGGCTGGAGTCAGAATTCAGGGCACCAGGTCTAGGGGAAGGCTTTCTGTCTCTGTCTGCTCCTGTCAGCTCTGGGGGAAGGTCCTTGTTCCTTGATTCTTTGGCGATCTTCAGGTAGCGTGGCATCTCTGCTTCCTTCTCTGTCCTAATCTGCTCTTTTTACATCTCAAAGGTGACAGGCTTAAAAAACACCCTACGCTAATACTGCTTCTTTAACATAACAAGAAAAACCCATTCCCAAATAGCATTATAACCACAGGTATAAAGGTTAGGATTTACAACACATATTTTTTGGGGACACAATTCAGTCCATAACAGGGAGGGAGGGAAGGAATGAGGAGAAGAGAAATAGCTGAAATAAAATTGGCCAAGTGTTGGCAATTACTGAAATATGATGTTGGGTATATGAAGGTTCTTTCTATTATTCTCTCTATTTGGTATATATTTGAAAATTTCCATGATAAAAAAATTTCTAGAAACTCCTAAAAAAAAAAAACCGTTGCCGTTGAGTCAATTCCAACTCATAGCAACTCTATAGGACAGAGTAGAACTGCCTCATAGGTTTTCCAAGGAGCAGCTGGTGGATTCAAACTGCTGACCTTTTGGGTAAGCAGCCAAGCTCTTATCCACTGTGCCACCAGGGCTACTCCTATGCATCTTTAAAACCCAGGTCAAGTCCCACTTTGTCCATAAAGCTTTCCTGACTAACTCCTACTCACTGATGGGCCCCTCACTAGTCCAACTCTAGTGGCACAACCAGTATTATCCAAGGTAGCTCAATTATTTACTATGGCCATGTATTATGTATCCTTTGTTTCACAGGTTTTCAATTGCCTAGTTAATTTCGTGGCAGAAAGGAGAGGGAGGGAAAGGAATTAACATTTCTTAAGGGCCCACTACGTGTAGGAAACCAAACTATGTGTTTTTCATATAGACCATATCTCTTATGGCTTCTTTAGCACTTTAGGCTCATAGTGGGTATCTATTATGCAGCTATCAAAAATAATAGAGAAGAAAATCTTCTAATAACATAGGGAAGGGCTTATGTTATAATGTTAGGTGAAATGGAATCAGAACACAAAATCATATATATAGTATGATCTCAACTCTATAAAAAACTGGTTAGAAAAAAGGCTGGACTGATATATATATCAAAATATGCTTATTCCTGGATTAGGGTATTTCCTTATTTTTATATTTTCAAAATTTCATTTAATAATCGTATGTATCAGACGTTAAGGGTCAGATAGTAAATATTTTCAGCTTGTGTACCATACAGTCTCTGTTGCAACTACTCTGTCATTGTAGTGTGAAAGCAGCCATAGACAATACACAGATGAATGAGAATGGCTGTGTTCCAATAAAACTTTATTTATAGAAAGGGGCGGCAGGCTGGATTTGGCCCACAGGCCATAGTTTTCCAACTCCTGATATATAGCTTTATAATCAGAAAAAAATATGTTATTAAAGTATGTATTCTTTTGTTATAACTATAACATCTTGTACTATGATTAATACATCACAGTACAGAGGCTTTATTCTAGTATCCTGCTATCATAAAATAATAGAAACAAAAAGTCATAAATTAGAAAATAATGAGAATGAAAATTCTATGCCGGATACGGGCGTAAGACTGAAAATTCACAGTACCAGTAGTTAATACCAGATTTTATTTCTATTATTTTTAAAACCTAATTTAGGATGAACAGAAAAAGTTAAACTTTCATTTCTCTTTTTCCCCCAGATTTTCTGAAGCAAAGGCCCTGGGAGAAAGCATAAATGAAGCAAGAAGTAAAATTGGTAAGCAGATGATATTCTATGAGCCTCCTTCAGAGACCGTTTTCCTGGTGCAAATCAGGTCCTGATGTGCCTCCAAACAGCTATGAAGCATAGTTTCAGGGGAACCCCTAGAAGGAAGCTGCTCTGAGAGGGCCTTTCCTTGGAAGTTCATCATCCCTCCCACCACCCAGCAGGAAAAGCACTTCCTTTTGTCTAGAACTTGAAATTTTCATCTCATGCAGGCCTGAGCTCTAACATCCCAATGAGAAAGCTCTGCTTCTCTGGTGTTTTTGGACAATAGCTCAGCTACTCATAACTGCACAGTCACCGGGATGTCATTTCATATTTTCAAGTGCTGTGGAACACTCTGACACCTCCCAAAGTGTACACTTAGCACTGCTGGCACAGATATGTGTTTTTCAGCACCTGCAATAGTGAGCCGCCAGGGCGAAGGCTGCCTGCTGAGCAGGGTGTCCCCACTGAGGTGAGCGTCTCTGGAAAGATGAGGTGAGGCAAAAGGCAAATTCAATAAAAGCATGCCTTGTGTCTTTTTCCAAGTGAGAGGAAAATGTTTCTTTCATCCTAAGCTAGAAGACGCAGCAGAGACCCATCTCCCAGTCTCAGGGACAGCTTTGCAGAAGGGATGCCTTGAGCCCTCACCTCTGTGCTGGGAAAGGCAGCAGTTGCCTGTTCACAGCCAACTCCCTGGGTCCCTATTGTCCCATCTCCCTCCCCCAAGAAGTGAGGTCAGGACAGAAGCCACTGTGAGTGTCTCCTAAGGCTTCTCCTACAGAATACGGAAGGTCGAAAGGTCGAGATAGCCTCAGGTTGTATCAGTCTAGGAAACAAGAGCCCTGCGATCTCCCTCTGTGGCCTGAGCAGAACCCTTGATTGGCCCAGGCTGAGGTAGCAAGGCCCTGAGCCATGCCCAGCAACCCAAATGAGAATCTCTGAGCCTTGGGGGGTTCTTAACCTAGTGTCCAGGATCTCAGAAGGGGGAAAAATGCATCACTAACCTCTAATGAAATTTAGCATTACCTTCAGTGATGAACATAGGCAGCAGACCACACTAGAATTAGCAGCACCCGTCACCAATAGAAATCACAGACATTGTCATTTCACATCACACTGTGCCAGACATCATAAATAGCTTTTATGCTTATCACTACTTCAAAAATACAGTAGTTACTACACTCATCGTTAGATCTTGTTATTTAATGCATTTACATAAAAGCACATAGATATTTCTGTATCATAGAATGTTTTAAAATGTTGATAACTATTTCAATGTAATTAGTTTCTTTTAAAAGCATATGTATTTCACTGTATGCATCTAAAATCCTGATTCTGAGAGGGCGTCTATACCTGTGTCAGAATGCCAGAGGGATCCCTGGACCAAGAAAAGATTATAAACCTCTTTCTTGGCTTGGATTCCCAAACCCCCAAGACTATGTGAAAAAAAAATGGGAGTAGGGATATATGTATTTTTCCTGGGATAATATCCATAGCTTATCCACTTCTCAAGGGGATTAGTGATCAAACTGATAAGGAAATTGATTCTGGACTGACACCCCACCAACAGTGCCAGGACTTCAGGCAGGAAAGCAGACATCCTGCTGCGGGGCAGCCTGCTCCCAGACAGTAGCGTGGTGCTGGCCTACCTGGCCTGGGTCAGCTGGCAGGTAGAGGAGGCCAGGAAGGAAGGGAAAGCAGGCTACGTGGATCCAGGACTGAGTTGTTAACTGCTCATCCAACCCCAAGGGACCCAGTGGTTTATTTTTATCCCTGGAGGGATAAAGGTGAAAGACGTTTTAGAAACTACTTCTCCCAAAAAAGGTAATATCAAGTTTGGGTCTTTGAAAAATATCTAACTCTGTAGACCAAAATACAGCTGTTCCAACAGTAATGGGTGGGAGGCACCAATTGTCTATAGTAATATACCTAGCTTTTCACTCTGCATTATTGACATGAAGAATTATACATTCTTCATAATTTTGGTGAAATAACCTATGTTGATGAATCCAGTTGGCCACATTCTCAAGATTAAGGAGGTCAGAGGCTGCTGTACAGGTGCACAAGTTGTGCACTGGCCAAGAGCAAAGGGCTGAGGGTATGAGGGCTGCCACGGAATCTGCCCAGAGAGGGCGTCTGTTTACAATACACACACAGAATCCAGTTATGCTGGAGGAAGCCCTGGACACATAAACCTGTGGTTTTTCCCTTATACTAGCAAGCAGGTTCACACTGATACTGAGATTCAGGCTTCTATTGTTACCAGGAGGGAAACTGGCTAGTTCAGTGGTGCTCATAAAGCCAGTATCACTCGTCACTTCACTTTATGGAGACTATGACCCATCTCCTGCCCACCCATCTTTCAAGTTGTGCTCTTGATACAAGGGGTCTGGTCTCTGAGACTCCCACCCTGTTCCTAGACAAGCCCCTCATGGTTCTTGACCTAACATCCTCCATCACTGCATGTCAGGACACCAGGTCAAGATTAAGGAGGTATAAAGTGGAACCTGTACACATATTTAGCTTTCTAAGGCTACCTTGAAGAAAACTTGTTTCAGGAGATTTATTACATTACTGACTATATTTTTCCCTACGGAGAAATTAATTCAAGTGGAATTTGCAGTCCCCAAAGAGTCCTTTAATGAGTCTAGGAGTCAGGAGATGGGAGCATGGCATGTGTGAGGTGGTGACTCAGCTCCACTCCCAAACCACACCACATCCTGCCTCTGGACCCTGGGGCAAGAGAAGGGGATGCCAAGCAGTGCACGTGTAATTGGGCCCGCAGAGAGGAAACAAAATCTGTCTTTGTGAGCGACAGATCATCCACCCACATGTTTAAAGTTCAGGTTGCCGCTGTCTTTTCAGCTAATTTGTTTTTTCTGTGACATTGGGATCCAGAGCTGCCTCTTGAGTTTCATTCTCAAAAATCCCTGAAGGCTATTGATTCAGGAGTGACCACATAGTACCTAATTTTTACTTGGTATAATAATCACTCGATCAAAGTTTCCACATTATTTCCTTTTCTTATAAGAAGCCAACCCAAACTAGGTAGATAAACGCTTGCTACAAACTCCTTTTTGTCCTTCTCTATACACTATTTGGCACAAATGGTTAAGCACTCCGCTACTAACTGAAATGCACCCAGAGGTACCTCAGAAGAAAGGCTGGGTGATCTACTTCCAAAAGATCACAGCCATTGAAAACCCTGTGGAGCATAGTTCTACTCTGACACACGTGGGGTCACCATGAGTTGGAATCTACTCAGCGGCAACTGGATTTTTGGTTTTATATACCATTTACATAAATGCTGATGGAGAAAAACAAGTTGAAATTAGAAATAGGAGAAACAACCTATTTAGAATCTCCCTGAGAAACCAGAGCCTTTGTCTCTGTAGGAGAGCCATTTTTATTGTATCTGCCCGCTCCATATACCAAAGCATTAGGCTGCCTTCTGCCATATGGGCTGTGTTTTGAACACATTCACACACACCCTGCTTCCATTTGTCGTATCTCTAAAGTTGCCATTGACCCCGAGCTGTGGAAAAAGAAGCAGACTGTTTCAGAGACAGCAGCATAACCTAGGCCATTCTTTTCACTTCTTAGAATTCTGGCACTGTTTTTTCTACGTCAGTGTTCTACCACCGGCACCATCGCCTTTGGCAACAAAGGACACTTAATGGCTATTGTTTGGAGTAGAGCCCATTTTCCAGACCAGTCCAGGGACCAGCTGTTTTGGAGGTGGGCCAAAGAGTTTGACTGACACCTCTTGGCAACTCTATATCCCTCCACAGGCCCCTCCAGGCCGAAATGAAAACTAAGGTTACAGAACTCTGCACAGAATGGTTTTCACTAGTAAACCACTCAGTGATCAATTAAAAAATCATAGGGACTATCATAGAGGTAGCTGTTAGTGAAGGCTAAAGAAAAAAACAAAAATTAGGGAAACTAGCAAAACATTCTGAAAGCTGTTTTTCCCCTACTCCAAATTGAAAGAGAGACACCAACTCATCATTTGAACAGTACCCTTTTAGAAAATGTTTCTCTTGTACATTCGGGATTTGGGGAAATCATTTCTCGGGTCCAGGTCTCCATCAGCAAATAAATAGGACTATTTGTCAGCTTTGTGCATTCCCTGTACTTGAATCTTCCTTTGAGGTTTACTTTTGGACTTGGCTTTGTACACGTTGGCTTCTAGGATCTGATCCTGGAGTAAAGGAAAAACAACTTCCTGGTCATTTTGCCAGATTATGCTGATCTGAATCAAGAATATCCTTGTGTTATTATTTGTTTCCAGCTCCAAATCACAGGGACAACAATAACTCAACAATAACAGCCTCCACCATTTATTGAGAACTTAATTCTGTGCTACGCTAAGATATCTGTTATCTCATTTAATCTTCTCAGGGAAGAGGCATTACCTATAAGGTGGGTATTGCCGTATGTCATAGATTCTGAGACACATATTTTTATACTCTTAAAAAAAACAAACAAACCCACTGCCATTGAGTTGTAACTGACTCATAGCAACCCTATAGGACAGAGTAGAACTGTCCCCATTAGTCTCCAAGGCTGTAAATCTTTACAGAAGCAGACTACCAATCTTTCTTCCACAGAGCAGCTGGTGGGTTCAAACCAGCGACCTTTTGGTTAGCAGCTGAGCGCTTTAACCACTACACCACACCTCTGAAATCAGGATCCATTTTACCATCACTTTTGTCCATTTTTTTTTCACATTTTAAAAACTTCTGTAGTCAAGATGGAGTCTTATTGTTGTTAAGGAGTCTTGTTGTTAGCTGTCATTGAGTCAGCTCCCAACTCATGGCGACCCCATGCACAACGAAATGAAATGGCACCCAGTCTCCCATGATCGATCGCCGATAAGACCCTTATGATCCGTAGGGTTTTTGTTGGCTAACTTTTGGAAGTAGAGTGCCAGGCCTTTCTCGCTAGTCCATCTTAGTCTGGAAGCTCTGGCTGAAACCTATTCAGCATCATAGCAACATGGAAGC